ACAAAAAAACTTTTCTCTCTCACAGATATCTTACAAAATTGGTCCTCTGTCTCTGTCTCTGTCTCTGTCTTCACCACTTTCATAGTCACTCTCATTCAATTCAACCTTAAAACCCAACAACAACAGCAAAAACATAGGAATAAAGAAAATTGACTGAGAGATAAAGGCTTAGGCTGAGAGAGATGAGGAACTACATGAAGAAATCTAAAATCTCAGGTGACGTCGCCGTGATGGAGGTCTTCGTTTCACCAGTCTTCTCTTGGCTGGGTTGAGTCTGTTGAGTGGAAAGAAGAAGAGAATATAAAAAGGGAGAGATAGAGAATGATGGAAAGAGGAAGAAGAAAAGGAAAAAGAGAGAGATGGAGAGAAGGGGAGAAGGGAAAAGAAGAAGAAAAAAGGTGAGAGTCACGAAGAGAGAATGGGTTGAAGGAAAAATAATATTAAAAATGAAAATGGAAGAGATGGAGAGATGAGAAATGACATAAAAATAAAAATAAATAAATAAATAAGGGTCTGTTTGGTGTTAGGAATTGAGATATTTTTCAAAAAAACTTTTTGCAAAATTACAAATTACCCTTCTTAACGGGTGGATGCGAATATTCGTGAATTGACCCGACACGACCCGTTAGCTTAACGGGAGACTAACGGGTTCACCCGTTTTCAACCCGACCCATTAAGCTCAACCCAAATACTGATAATTTTGTGCAAATTCGTGTCGTGTTAACGAGTCGTGTGTAATATTACCAGGTCTATTTGCACCCAGATTTTCACCTCCAACGAATTGTGTCTCATCATATGCTTTACTCAACTAACTATCAATTTAGCAGTATATCTCTCAATTTTGTTAGGTAAGGAAGACTTCGAGTTCCTCCCTATCTCAAATATTTACTTATTTACAAATAACTTTTTTTTAAATGCAAACATAGTAAAGTGATCTAAATAATCACCTAATTTTCTGTAGGTGGTTTTTCGTTCCAACAGCTCTATATGGACATGAACTGCTATTAAGAGAGTGAATGATGTCACCCTTTTGCCTGAGTTTAAGAATCAAACCCCAAAGCACTCTGAAAGCTTATGAATCCTTAGGGATTTTCTCTCTCCAAGAGGATTAGAAATGACTAAAGAGAGCATAAAAGGCACTATGGCACAATCTTATTGCTACCTCAACCATGCACTTAGCGTCGTCGCCAGTAGCTCCTTTGGTAGGGATAAGGTCACACTGCTTGTGGCACTAGTTCTCCAGTTCTCATTGCCTAAAGTTCAAAGCATGAACTGTAGCTTTTACTTAATCAAAGTGAGATGACATCCCTATGTTATGGATGACCAGTGCCCCAAAAATGGCTCACGCTAAATTCCTCAACAAGTTAAGTAGGAATTCCATGCGAAATCCTAACCCTTAGTTTGGATGAGGAAAAATAACTCGGAATTTGGTTAAAAGCAGGGAATTTAAATGGAGAAATTGATAATTCCCTTGTTTGGCAACTTAAGCACAAAATTTATTAAATGATCTGTAGAAAAGAGCGTGAAAATTTGGGCATCAAATTCCCAAGTTTAATTTCCACCAAAATAGGTGTAATTCACAATTTCTATAGAGCAGGAATTCATTTTTTCCCAGCACCAAAACTCACAATAAAACTCAGCTACAAAAATTATCTTCTGCCAAATCTCAAAGCTACAACCAGAGAAGGAAGGAGAAGGAGTTCTTCTTGAGTTACATGTTGTCTCTATGCATTAAATTTTAATGTTAGTCTTCAAGCCTATCTCTCTCCCCATCAACTCATGTTTTTCTATTTTAGGGTTACCATGATTTCTGAATGGATATCACAGTTGGGTGTTTTTGACTAAATTTTTGAATATATTATGAATGGATTTTGTGATCTTTGCAACACTATGGCTGGATTTTGGGAAGTTTTAACAAAAATACTATGTGCCCATGGATATTGGTGTGCAATGTTTTCCTGCAGCTCTGTATGTTACTTAGTGTAGGGGACTTTTTCTTCCTGCAGCTATAATGGGCTGGGTTGCCGTAAAGGGCAGACTGAGGAGACTGTCCCCTTTGTTTGGGTTCGAAAATTAAGCCCCAAAAATACTTCAAAAGGGCAGCAAAGCATTAGGAAATATTTTGGCTATCTTCACCAACCAGAATAATGGTAGCTTACAGATGGTTTTGGCATGCTTACAGATAATCCTTTTAGCTCAACGTGAGTGGCATGTGGCATGGGAGCAAAATCAACACGAGTTTAGCACTAAGAGAGAATTTAGGCTTGCTTTATGAGAAAAGAAAGTGTTAAGGTAAGGAAGGAGATGTTTTGTAAGGGATTTGGCTAGGAAATGGAAAATGGAGAGCAAAGTTCTTCTGGCAACTGCTAGAAGAACAAAATGGAGAAGGAGATGAACAATGCACGAGGTTGCTGGGTTTTTGCAAGTTAGAGAGAATGCTTGCTCTCTAAATCTGAGTTGCTCTCGTTAGGTAGGATAAGCCTCAATTTATAGCCGCTGGAAACCACCATTTTTCAAGAAACCCTAATGGCTTCTACCCATTTTGGCTAAGTTTTTTCCTCCTTTCTCCTTTTCTTCTTTGACTTCCCTATCTTGGCAAAAATTGCCTCTGTCTATTTGCACGAATTCAGGAAATTTGGGAGCTCAATGCCCCATTTCCCGCAGTTGTTCAGTGGGAACTTCCATTCTTGGCTACTGTTTTTTCTTCTTTCCTTCCCCCTTCTTTGGCCAAATCTAATGAAGGAAAGGAAGTGAAAATATATGCTGGTCCAAAGAGTGCTTCTGACAGCCTGCAGGCTAGTATTCCTTGGTTCTTTTAGCGTCTCTGGCTTGGAACTTGCTCCCTGCATGTGATGGAACCTCCCAGCAACTTTGCTCAATGAATCTGCCAACCTTCCTCACGTGGCTTCTATTTTTTCAAAAGGGCTGAGGCTTTTGTGGGATATTTTTTGGGGTTTTATATGGGCCAAGGTGCTTCCCTAAGCAAATGGGCTTTTTGTTAAACATTGTGCTTTTTGTTTGTATTAATAGGCTACTTTGCTTGGGCTATTGTGCTATTTTCTCTCTTATGCTTACCCACATGTTTGGGCCTAAGAAATGGGCTTGAGTGTCGAGGCTCCCAAGCAATCCGAGACTTTCCATTTCCCGGCCCATTAATGGGTCTCGTGTTTATTTATTACCGTCCATACCACAACCCACTCAAGCAAGCCCCGGTGTTTGAGTGGCTTGGGCCTACTTAGGCTTGTAGTGTGGTTGGGTGTGAGATAATGATTTCGTGCTGTGCATGGCATGTCGCTTGGCATGCTTTAATTTATCGTCCTGCAATGTTTAATTTTGGCATGGGCTTGTAGACCCGGTATATTTTATCTCAACCCTTAGCGAATTTATTTATTTAGCGTGGCACATGAACTGTAATTCGCATGTGATGGATTTTGTGTACTCTTCTTTACGCTTTTTCTTAATGGATTGTCGTTTTGGGTTGATAATTTATTCGGGCCCAATCATGAATTTTTTGGGTTTCAACACTTAGCTTTATCGCTTTATTCTTATTAATGCTTTTGTCTCTATGCTTTCTATATGGAATATGGTTTTGCCTAAAAATAATTTGTTTGATGTCTTAGTTTTTCACTCTCTTTTTATCCTTTTCTTGCTTGTCTT